TTATTGAGTCATATGTCTACTATATATAAATACAAAAAATTAATGGTATTTTTTTTAAAAATTTAAAAATTATTTAAAATTACCTTTATTTTAAAAAAATTATCAATTTCAGTGTTACCAGTTATTATATTTAATTTTGCCAGATGAGTTTTTTCAAAATATTTCATTAACAATCTCCACTACAAGTATATATTATTCTGTAATATTTACAAGTAGCCTTTTTGTCCTCTTTAAAACTTGCACTCCTTATAAAGTATTTCTATACTTTATTTCTAGAAATTGTTGAGATAACTGAGGCTGATTCTGATGGATTGCTTGTATTGATATTTTCAATATCGATATTGTTATAGTTAGTTAAACTGCTACTTTCATTGTATGCAAAATTGTATGCTATTAAAAGAGTTTTTATATTCCATTTTTAAAAGAAATAAATTAGTAAAGCAAAGGATATGATAAAAGTAATCAAGCAGCAAAACTATAATATCATAAAAAAATATTTAAAAAATTATCAAAAAGAACAAGTATTGAATTTTTTTTAACTTTTCTTTTATATATTTTTTTTTTTTTAAAAAAAAAAACTATTTTAATTTATTAGATAGTTTGATTTTAATTTTTTAAATAATTCAATTTTAATTTCCTTGATAGTTCAATTTAAATAAAATTAAATAAACAATTTATGTGAACTGGTACATATTTAATTTGATTATATTGGGTTTGATTGAAATTCAATTGAATTTAATCTAAATCAGATTTGAATCTAATAATTTTGTAAATTTAAAATTCAATTCGATCAGAATCTGATCAAATTAAAAATTTTAAAATTTGATTTGATCCAATTCAAATCTAATTCACAGATCAATTGGATTCAAATTAAAATTGTGAACACTAGTTTGAGTAATTGCTTCTAAAATTTTTCTTAGTATCTAGAAAAGTGTTAACCTGTACTGACTTGGTTAAGAGTTTGTAAAGTTAATATTGGGTTTCAAAAAGCCTACTGTGAATCAGTTTGTCTTTGTTTTTTTTTCTTTCTAAAGCAAATCAAAAGTAAAATAATATTGCTGCTAAATAGAAATATTCTTTTCTTATTATCAAAAGTTAGTTATATATTATCTGAAAGGAAGTTATTTCCATTTTTCTTTAAGATAGTTTTTGCAAGAAGGTTTTTCTTAAAAAATTACTATAAAAATTTTTTTCTGAAAATTTGAGGATTAACAAAAAGAATTTTTTTTTTTTTTAATAAATAGAATTTATTTATTTATTTTTTTTTTTAAAAAAATACTCTCTATCTGATTAATTATAAGTACTTTATTAAACATTTGTAAGTTGTACATATAAAATGAGATACTAAAGTCAATTTTCTAACTAATTTACTCATTTTGATTGTATTACCTTTCTAAATACAACTTTGAGAATAATTTATCACTTCATTAGTAGTTCAGATAAAGAATCTTCCAACTTTTAACATTATTGTCTACAGATCACTACTGCAGATCACTCATTTAAATTTTAACAAAAATCAAAATCCAATCACTTTATATCATACTTCATATCATTTAGTAAAATTTTTTTCAACTTCTTGTCTTCAATTCTTTTCTTTTTATATACTGATTTTTTTATAGATAGACTTTTCATACTTTTAATTTTACTTTCTTGATCTCAAGAATACATTGGCCTTTATATCTTATCACTTCTGTGGATTTCTGATATTTGTTCTTACTTGATCATCTTTTTATATTTGCTATTTCATATATTTTTTCTTTTTTCAAAGTGGTTATATACTTTCTTCTGTATTTTTATTATTATATTTTTGCTTTTTTTTGACTCTTTTATTATAACACATTAAATTTACTATTTTTAAAATTAGGTCTTCCTCTATTAGTCCCATACAAAAGCTGGATATATTCTGATTGGTTTCTAATATTTTTTTTATCAGTTTCACTATCTATTTATTAATTTCTTCTATTTTTATTTTATTATCTATCATTATGTTTAGCTTTTTCTCTTTAGATTCTTTTTTCCTATCTTTTAAGAGTTTTTTGAGTTCTTTCAAAACTTCTTCTATTTCTTCTTGTTATGTCTCATTCCATTGAGTCTTGTAAGTTAAGAATTTTAGCAAGTGTTTTATTGTTTTCTTTTTTTAACTATATATAATACATTTTACTTGTTTATAAAGATCTGGTTTTTTTATAACTAATATAGTGTTAGCTTTAATTAATAACTATATTTCTCTTTAGTTATTATCTATAGTTCTTGTCTATCATATTACTTTAATTCTATTTTTAGATCATATGATACATGTAATGTAAGGTGTGTCTCGTTGATTTCTAGGATAGATCCAATTATTAAGACAAAGTAGTGATTTATGTAATACACATTATTTAATTTTTTTATTCAATCATTATATCTTATCTATATTTAGCTAGCAGGTTACCCAAGTGAGCAGATTGACATATTGGTCTGATTTGACAAATCTGATAAATTTGGATACTTTGGTCATCAAATAATTAATATTCAATTATGTATATAAAAGACAACTATCCAAAGCAGTTAACTTAAGGTTTTATTTACTAAATTCTCTTATCCTTAATATTATATATCTTTAATAAACCTTTTAATTAATCAAATCAACCAAAGCCTCTTTCAATGTGTTTGTATAATCTTTACTATACTTGAATTATCAACTTTAGTATATTATAACTGAGGTATTTCCTCAACTTAAAGTAGATAACTGCTATAGTTGTCTTATCTATTTATCTGATTTGGAGATTATTGAATAGGTTGACAATAGTTAATATAAATAATTTATTATTAGTTAACTTGACAAGAAAACTTTTATCTTGTAAGCTCTTAAAGAAGATATTTCAAATATATCTATTTTTAAATTGTTTCCATGCTAGGTCTTATATATATCTGTATTGATTTTGGATTTATTGATTCTATTCCTTCTTGATTTTACCTTAAGTTATCCATTGATAGATCTTTTTTTTTTTATTATTTGTTTTTTAATGACTTGTTTTATAGAAATATTTATTACTGTATTTTACCATTTAATTTTTGTAATGATTTTGGACAAAATAAGATTTTTCCATTTTATTATTAGAAATTTTAGCATTTTTTTGGCAAGAGCATTTACTTTTTTATTATATTGAATATTGGAATATATCTTGACCTTGGTAGGCTTGAAATCTAACTTTTTTTTTTATAAAATTCAATATTTATATCCATATGAACCAATTTTTTTTTTAATTATCTTTTGTGAGTCATTCTAAAATTTCTCTTTTCTATAGTTTTCTATTTTAAGATATAAATTTGACTATTTATATATATTTTGATTTTACTATTTACCAGATTCACTAGTAGTATAATTACTATTGTTATTAGTTTTGTTTTAGTATATGAAGGTTAATCAGTTACTTTAGTTTAGAACTTACATTCTCTTTATTTTTTCTATTTATATCTATATTGTCTTATCTTTATATTTGTATTTCTATAGTTTATAAGGGATTTATTAGAATAAAAGATCATTGTTTCTTTTTTTTTTTTTTTTGTTGTACTTAAATATCTCAATTAGATAAATTTGATAAATACCTTCTTTTATATAATATTAATAATGTTTTTTTTTTAATTTTCTACTTTAACTTATAGTATTCTTTTATTCAAGATAGTTATTTGATTAATATAAATTGTTTTACATATTTTTTCTTCTTATGCTTCTTTAAAACTTGGAATTATCAGTAGTTGGGCTTTTTTGATTAACTTTCTTGCATTGAAACAAAAAACTATATATATTTTTTCTATACTTGTTTCAATTCTATAACAACTTTCTATCTTTGTATATTCTGTATATTCTTGACATCAAATTAGTTTTGATTCTTGATTTTTAAAGAGACTGATATATTCAAAAGGCTCTATTTTAATGTGCCTTCTAGTATTATCTAAAATCAATTTTTCTCAAACTACTTGTTGTTATTGAAACTTGCTTTTGAAATATAAAATATAAGAAATAATTAAATGAGAACAAATACAAAGAATCTACAGAGTGAATAAGATAAAAAAATCTTTATGCCTTTCAAATCAAAAAACTATATTTTTAAAGAGAAAAAATTATTATCAGAAAATGAAAATATAAAAAATGAAAGTTTCAAAAAATAAATTATTAAACTTTTATTTTGTGATTTAATCTATAAAATATTGATTATTATATATATAAATTATTTATATAATTGTAACATACTGTAATTTAAAATAAATAAAAAATTTAATATAAAATAAAAATATTTTTAAAAGCAAAACTATAAATAAGAAAAAATATTTTTATATAGTTATAGTATAATAATCTATAATATATCTTAAAAATTAAATGGTTTTTTTTATTAAAATTGTATATATTGTATCTTAGTAAAAGATTATTTTTTAACTTATTTTCTACTTCGAAAAAAAATATTATTATTGTTAGTTTAACCATTGAAAAGAAAAAATATACAAACAAATATTAAAATACTTTGCTATTATTTCATGATATCCTAAAAGCTTTGTTATTTTAGAAATGCAAAATCGAATGAGATTAGAACGACGAATTAATTATTTTTTAATAATGTAAACATACAGTATATAATTATTTTGATAGGTGATTTAAAATTTACGCGTAACAAAATCCCAATATTTATAACTTTTCGCGTTCCAGTTTGTACAACGGATCAGACCGTGGAAATACAGTATATAAATTAACTCGAAATTAATCTTCTCCGCTCACTCCTGAAACTCCTTTAAGTATGGTGGCTAAGTCCAATTCTTAGATTTATACTAACATACCAGAGTATTACCGAACAAAGTTGGAAAACGAGGAACGTAAAAATATACCAGGTTGTATTAAAAAAGACCTTAATGAAGTGACCGAAGGCTCTGAGTTCGTCGAAGATTGTTAAAGAAAAGCTCAAACAATTCTTGACGATTGGAACGAACGTTATTACTCAGATTAAAATTGTATATAAATTAAGGGCCTATTCCATACATGTTGAGAAATAAGCTCTTGACGATGAAAAACTCTTAGCTCGGTGCTTAGCGAAAACTGACTCCTAGTTTGTAGCGGTCATCGATCCTTCTACAGCCGGTGAGTTTTTAATTCTAAATCCAAAATTTTTTATGTGATAAAGGATATTAAGTTGCGTTTATTATTAATAAAACAACTGGAAATTCCTATATGATTAGCCTTTGCGTAAAACGTTAGCGAGACGAAAATACTAATGAAGATGACGAGGGGGAATTCCCGAAGAAATATATTCATTAGGAGTTTGTCATTACATCACGAAAAGCTGGAAGAGGAATCAAGAAATAATAAGGTTAATACTAATAATTATTATGAATAAACCAAAATTTTATTCATAAAAAAAAGCTTATTTAGAGGGTTTAGAGGAGTGTAAAGAATTAGCCAAGTAACCAACTAAATAGTATTTGTTAATCCCACTAATTATGGGTGAGAAATTATTAATTTAATTCCCAAATATAGCATAAGACCATTCTGTCGAGGAAACATGCAGAAACTAAGTCACAAAATCCAGCAAACTAATAATTCATCACTCATAAGGAGCATGTTGCAAATCCTGATTTGGTTTCGTTGTAATACATAGATGATTAACACCTGAAAACATATACCAAATTTGATATTAAAAAAGTTTGGATTTTATTTGCGTAACGAACACACAATACATTATCTATATGTTCTGCACATGAAAAAGTTGAATTGGTCTCCAATTGTTTGATCGATGATAGTTGAAAATGACGGAAATCGAGAGAAATATTGCGACCATTCTCTACCCACTATAGGTATTACTTATCGGGAAAAGACCAACATAATTTCTCAATACTTGCATCTTTCCTAGAGATTACATGGCAAACAGTTATTGGCATGAAAATTGGGCCAAATGGAATACATTGTCAACGGATGAGGACAAATTCATCTTCGATTGGTACAACAGGTCACGAGATACTGTATTTGTAGGTTCTAAATTATTGGGAATATTTTTTGCGCGTTGTTAATATTTATTCCGATTTTCTTTGAAGTTTTGTGCATCTATATTCTGTGAGTTCCGATGAAGATGAAGAACGGAATGAAGGTACAATTGAAGATGGGGGGAGCTTAAACAATATCCATTTGTTCGCCGATTTTGTCATAAATTTTCGAAAAAATATTTGAAGATGAATTTGCATTGATCTGGCAAGCTTCATGTGAAGCTATTATCTAATGCTATATATCAATCTGCATTTATATTTTATCATCGGAACAAAGGGGAAATAGAGTCTGAAAATTCGAAAGACCGAAGAATACTAGATGGAAATAATCACGAAATTTTCGTGTACATTCAAAGATAGATGACACAAATAGTGATTATTTCTTATTGGACGTAATTGAACCTCCGAGCGGCAATTCAACTGCTACAAATATGAATATGATAAAGTTATCAGAATGAATGAAAGGTTCATTAGACCTTGTGATTAATGATAATGGCTATACTGTCGATTTGGGAACTTACGGAATATTGATTCAAGGTCGATCGCCAAAGATTATTGTAGCCACACTACTGTAACGTTTAATGCCAGCTAATTATAAAAGGAAGAGAAGTTGGGAAGTTTATATCCTTCGGTGATATATAGTATACCGTTATAAGCAATTTTCAAGAGTCATTAGGTCAACGGACAAGACGGATTTCTTGGGCATAATTTGTGCAATGTTCTCCTTTTATACTTTATCTGTAAGAATCTTGACTTATAATAGTCCAACAAGTTGCTTCACAGTCCAAACAAATTACTTTACAAATTACTTTGCAATTTAACCATCAAACTATTTTTACCATGTAGGAAAAGTTAATATCTATTGTTTTGACTGTGAAATCATCATCCTTCCGTCACCTGTATCGTCGAGAATCGTACTCTTCATCTAAAAGAATACTTCGCGAGCTCGCGTTTTAGTGGTTTCCATGCTCATGTAATTTACATATAAGATCGATATATGTATTTTTTGTACATTCAAGAGTAAATTGAACGTATAAAAATGGATTTAAAAAAATTTTTTTGTAAACTTTTTTTATATAGAAATGGTTTTTTTATGCCTAAATCTCGAGGACTTGTGGATTATGACAGTAAAGAGATTTTTATTTTATTTTATTATTATTATTATTTTTTGAAAGTGGTTAGATGAATGCAATATTAAAGACATTCTTGATTATTATTTTAAAAATTTACATCATTTATGATATCATCAAGATAAATTATTTATTGTTTAGGTTAATAAAAAGGCATCAAATATTTTATAAAAATTTGGGAAAGAAACGCAAGTTTTTTTTTTTTGGATAAATTGGAAAATTCAATCGGTTATCTTTATTTTCCTACCATAGTTCTACATTAAAAGTTATTTTTTTTTTTTTTTTTGTTTTTAATTACATTATATATATACGCATTTATTTAACATAAGATCTCGACACGCGCATCATTCCAAGGGGATTCCTTCGTATTCATCATACCCCAAGGCTAGATTCATATTCTGAAAAAATGAAACGGAAATTTCTCAATACCAACACCAATGCAAATCAAAGGCAAGCGGAAATCAACTAATTGACATTAGCAAACCTGTAAAGCTTGGGTCGCAGCGCCCTTCAGCAGATTATCAATGGTCGCAACTACGACAACCCTTTTCCCCGAAGAGTGTACACCGAAACCACCTATCCTCACGTCATGTTTACCAGAGATGTCTCTTACCAGCGGTACATCTTCGGTTACCTTGATAAGCTTTTCACCGGCATACCTCTGTTCATACAATTCACGAATTTCCGCAGATTTAAATGTCTTGGTCAAAGGAATGTTGACGGTTAAGGTGATTCCTTGGAACCAAGGAGCGACGTGAGGAATGAAATTCACTGTTTTGCCTAGATGATGTGAAACTTCCCTCTCGTGAATATGATCTGTCAACGTGTAGGGTATTAAATTATCTTTAAGAAATTCCGGGTCATTCTTTGGCGATGGTTTCGTTCCGGCGCCCGAGTAGCCAGACACGCCAAAGATGGTCGGAGACTCGGAAATATATGGTAACAACGGTGAGATTGAAAGTTGAGAAGCAGTCGCATAACACCCAGGATTTGAGATCCTTGTGGCTTTTTTAATTGCCGAACGATCACAGAGCTCTAAGTTCACATTTGGGAATGACAAATATTTCTCAATTAATTATCCAAATTGAACCTGGTTAAAGGTACAATGTGCATATTTAGCTTGACAGATAAAATGCTCACCGGGCAAGCCATAAGTCCATTCGTCAGTGAATCTATAGTCAGCGCTTAGGTCGACAATCAAACTCTTATCAGTCTGACCCTCATTAACAGCTTGAACAAACGGAGAACATACACCATTTGGCAAGGCCATGATCCAACAATCAACTTCACCATTCTTCTGCATCTCTTTTATATCCTCTGTTTTCAAGTTAACATACGTGATCTCCTCTTTGGTGTATCCGGAAAGTCTTTGTCCTTCCAGTTCACGAGAGGACACATGAGACAATGAAATCTGAGGATGTCCGTTTATCAAGGATATGAGGTTTTGTCCAGTATAACCACGCGCTCCAATCAAGGCGACCTTTGTTGGATTTGATGATGACGTCGAATACATACGACGCGAACCCGAAAATGAATTTCCGTTACGCCTGGTGAATGAGGAAAAAGCCCTAATGCTATTGTCAGATACCGTACCCGAAGAATGATAGCCCACGGATGGATTAACGTTGGGTCGTGTGGAATCAAAGTCTTTGATGATTCCCGAGATTTCATCAATATTTTTGATCCCGTACCAAAACAGCAACTTTCCATTCTTCGTATAACTACCCTCGGAATTTTCAAAGTGCCAAAACTTGTTTTCATCTTGCTCATCTATGATCCAAACCAATTTCGGATGTTCTTTCTTCAACATCGTCCATAGGTTGTCCGTTACATTATTTAGTATTCCGTTCTTGGTGGCAATGAATTTCTCAAGAACTGGAATGCCATTATTACTCTCTCGTGACACTGCGGCAAAAACCTCATATGGCTCATCACTATATATCGTGCAATTTTTCTTGGAGAGCTCTTGTAGGTTTGATGCAACTCCCGTTTCCTCGCTGTTTTGCAATAAAGTTTGTAATTTATTTTTATCCATTTCCTCCACTGAATTAAATTTAAAGAGGCGATATCCACGACGAATCAAGGTGCCAGCTCCGCTGTCAGTGAATAGTTCCTTGTGCAGCTGTCCGGCCGCGGTAATTGCCACAGAAGACGTTCGAGGAAGGTTATCCAAAAGCTCTTTGATCTCCCGAAGTTTTAATCGAGTGCCACGTGTGACCCATGGTAATTTCAAATAATCTTCGTATTCCTGCGTGAGAGTGTTTGATTTTTTGAATGAGTATAATGAATGCTTGTGCAACAGAATTCAACAAGTCGACCTACCTCGTCAAGATTGATGACGTCAATTTTCTTTCCAGTCTCACCATGTATGAGACCTCCTTTTTCACTTAGATAAATAATTTTCAGTGGTTCGAGCACTCTGGCCAATTCTCCGGCGGATACGTCAGCATTCACATTTAAAATTTGTCCAGAAGGAGTTTCAGCCAGACTGGTTAATATCGGCAACGCGCCCGCTTTGACACTGGCCTCCACGACATTCTTATTCACTCCGGTGATCTTGCCGACATACCCATACTTTTCTCGATCCAGATAATCAGCAACAAACACCCCACCGGGAATGGGTCGAGCACGCGTCCCCGAGCGTTCTAGTGCTTCCACCAATTTAAGGTTCTCCTGTAAAAATACTCCTCGCGCGATTTCAAGTGTTTTTGCGTCCGTCACTCTGATACCATCTATATAATTCGGTTCTACGCCTCCCTTCTCCAATAAATGGTTGAGTTGTGGTCCGGCTCCGTGTAACACTATTGGATACAGGCCAACGCGATTTAGGAAGGTAAGGGATGAGGCGAGTGTGTCCAATTCGTCTGAAAGAACGGCACCGCCAACCTTTATCACAGCGAATTTCTGTGACTCTACCGAGGAAAAATGTCGAAGATATTGTTCCACCTCCTTTCTCGAACCTATGTTATACAATAATCTTATGATCGTCTCCTACACAAAGAAACCAATTAATTTATATAAAAAAATGAAACTTGTGCAAAGAGAATTTGATTGTTCAGATAACATGCATAAATCCCAACCTTTTCATTTACAGGCGAATCTTGTGAATAAGAACATTTGCTTAGTTTAATTGGCTCGACTCGACTCCGATCGCGCCGATATCGAGTTGATAAAGTTGAGGCGGTGCATATGAACCTTGCATTATGTTTAACCACGGCGGCTTTCGAGACGGTAGACTTTAATATTAGCATTTTTTTAAATTATTTATGCAATTCGATAAAATAACTACAACGAATAAGAATTTTGTTTATCATAAAAGACGTTGAGGAAGTTCACTTACACGCTGAATACTTGCATTTATATAACAGTTTACGTATATCAAGTAGGTGGTAGATTGATAAAGTTATCAATCAATGAGATCCGTTATGATTATTTATATGCGAATTACGTGCGTGTATACGATACGCACTACATAAACAAAAACGTTTATTAATATGTACAATATATTCATCATTTATCATGATGGCTGATCTTGCATAATCTCGTATTACATTAGATTGATTCACAAAAATGATAACAATTTATATATACAAATATCAAATATGTGGTAACCAAACGCTATCGAGCATCTATTTGCTCTTCGCCTTTTTCTTCTTGTCCGAATCCACTCCTGACATATTTTTGCTTGACCTTTTTCCTTTGTTCCCTTTTTGTTCTGCCACTGCATCTTGACCCTCTACAAAATCACCCGGAATGCTTGCTTCAGTTAAGCTCGATTTGCCCACAAGTTCATAGAGCAATTCAATTTCTTTCTTATATTCGTCGTCTTGTGATACTGGGGTTTCCAATATCAAGGGAATACCATCCAAACGGTTGTCATTCATAATCAAGCGAAAAGGCTCAAGACCCAAATACCCTTTACCAATATTTGCGTGACGATCACGGTTGGATCCTAGACCGGTAAGAGAATCGTTCAAGTGCATTCCTCGTAAATATTGAAACCCAATCTTGTGAGAGAATTCGGTCATGGTTTCATCATATTTCTTGCTCGTGCGAAGGTCGTAACCCTAGATTAAGAATATTAAAAATAAATTATCCCATGATATCGTCTTCTCGTCTGAATAAAGAAAAAACCCTACCGCAGCAAAAGCATGACATGTGTCAATGCAAACACCGACACGCGATTTATCTAAAGAAATAGCATTCAAAAGTTATAAAAGAATTTTTCCCAACCTAAGACAACTTGAAATATGTAATTCACCTTGAACAAGCGAAATAATTTTAGCCAACTCTTCAAACTTTGATCCAACCACATTTCCTGAGCCGGCCTATCAAAAGCACAGGTTATTTAGACCCGAAACAAAATAATCTCGATCTAAGGAACTTACTTACCATATTTTCAATCACACAAACGACATTTTTTGTCTCCTTGTGTGCCCTGTTAATGCAGTCTGCGATATGTCGTATGGATTGATCAATGGTGCACTTTCCAACACTAGAACCTGGACTTTTAATGTGCAGAAAATTTTTACTTTGAGAGAATGATTAATGACGTTTTCTTTTTTGAAATGAGGCTTACTGGAAATTGTACAAATGGATGCCCAATGTTTCGCATCTTTTCAAGTCCTCAAGAAAGGCCTCATAGCTCTTTTCTCTCTTTTCTTTATCGGGATTCCCAAGGTTTATTAAATAGCTTCCATGTGGCAAAATACAATTGGGCTGATAATTGTGCGTGACACAATACTCTCGAAATTTGGTAACAATTTTAGGATCAAGAGGAGCAGCCTCCCATCTTCTTTGATTTCTAAGGAAAATAGCAAACGCGTTTGCACTTTGAAAACAAATAGGTTTTCGTTAGCTTATCTCGTGTTAATCCCGTTTGATTATCTGAGACACGCGAGAACCTACCCAATAGACAAGCTATTAGCAATGGCGTTATGAACTCCTCCACTAACACTGACATGAGCCCCAACGAGTTTTGTGACGTTCTTAAGTCTGGAACCAAGCATATTTTCGCGTTCGTTTCCCGGGTACTTTGTTTCCAAGGTATCTTTATCGTTTTTCTGTTCACGTTTCATCTCTTGAGCGTTAAGGGTCTCGTCTACTTTGACTTCTTCGGCGTTACCAGTAGTTGAGTCCTCTTGCTTTAAAGCATCGGTTTCGGTTGGTGTTACTTCACCAGCACCACCTTCGGTTTTTTGCTCAGCAGTTTCGAACTGTACGACCTCTTGTTCTTCCTTTTTTATGCTTCCTGTATGTTTCGAACGATAACTGGACATCGTATACGTATGCTAGTTTCAACAAAAAAAAACCAAAAAAAAAACCAAAAAACGCGGTCTAAACTTGATCTACGGAATGTCCAGCCTCTAAAATGCATCGTATGATGTCGATTACTTGACTAAACTTTTTTAAATCACGAGACGTAATTAATATATCATAGCATACACTGTTCCCAGAAAGTAGCGCCGCCATCAGGCTAATATGGCTATACAGTATATTATAGTTTCAAATTATCAAATAACATTTTGTTGAAAACAAAGTTAAATAAACATCTACAATATTATATTGACTATTCGCATGATAACTAACTTGCTATTATTTATTATTAGTTGAAGAATTATAAGGTAATGAGGGTTCTTAAAGTATCTAGTATATAAAATTTTGCAGATTACCTATGTTTCTCTTTGAGACAATATTCATAGCTCTTTATTATAATAAGAACAGAATTCAAAAAATATTATAAATCAATAATTTAAATAATAAAGAATCATTGTAAATAGTTTTTTTATAATTATTAATTTAAAATTTTCAATGTTTCCTAATAAGAAATATTTGATTATTATTCTTGTCTTTCTTTTTAAAAACTTATCTTTAATATAAAAAAATAATATTATTTTTTTATTTTTTAAAAATTTGATTCTTTTTAATCATTGGAATGGAAGCTCAGCCTCATTTATTAACTTGATATAATAATTTACAATTTAATTGCAGGAAATACATACTTATATCATTTATGTTGACAAACATTCCTAGAACCCTACTTTTAAAGGATCCACCGGGCAGCTTGTTGCCCAGAAATATCTGGTCAGATTAAATTTCTACTACTACCTATCTAGGAAACCTAGACACCCCTATTTTTGGATCTTCAATC